TGCTTTCAGCCAGGATCCATCTGACATCAGCAATGATATCCCTCGTTCCATGTGCTCTTCTGAATCTGGCTTGAATTTCTGGCAGATCCCTGTTGATGAATTGCTGCAACCAATTTTGAATGATCTTCAGCAAAATTTTACTTTTGTGTGATATTAATGGTATTGTTCAATAATTTCCACATTCCGGTGGATCACCTTTCTTTGGAATAGGCATAACTATGGATCTCTTCCAGTCGGTTGGCCAGGTAGCTGTCTTCCACATTTCTTGGCAGAGACGAATAAGCACTTCCAGTGCTGCATCTGTTTGCTGAAACATCTCAATTGGTATTCCGTCAATCCCTGGAGCCTTGTTTTTTGCCAATGCCTTCGGTGCAGCTTGGACCTCTTCCTTCAGTACCCTGTGTTCCTGATCATATGCTACCTCCTGAAATGGCTGAATGATGACCAATTCTTTTTGGTACAGTGACTCTGTGTATTCCTTTCATCTGTTTTTGATGCTTCCTGCGTTGTTTAATATTTTCCCTGTGGAATCCTTCAATACTGGAATTTGAGGCTTGAATTTTCTGTTTAGTTCTTTCAGCTTCAAAAATGCCAAGCTTGTTCTTCCCTTTTGGTTTTCTAACTCCAGGTCTTTGGACATGTCATTATAATACTTTGTCTTCTCGAGCGGCCCTTTGAAATCTTCTCTTCAGCTCTTTTACTTCATCATTTCTTCTGTTTGCTTTAGCTTCTCGACGTTCAAGACCAAGTTTCAGAGTCTCTTCTGACAATTGATTTGTTCTTTTCTTTCCTGTGTCTTTAATGACCTTTTGCTTTCTTCATGTATGATGTCATTCCACAACTTGTCTGGTCTTCGGTCATTAGTGTTCAATGCATTAAATCTATTCTTGAGATGGTCTCTAAATTCAGGTAGGATATACTCAAGGTCCTACTTTGGCTCTTGTGGACTTGTTCTAATTTTCTTCAGCTTCAACTTGAACTTGCATATAAGCAACTGATGGTCTGCTCCGAAGCCAGCGCCTGGCCTTGTTCTGACTGATGATATTGAGCTTTAAACAATTAAATTATAAGAGACCAACCTTCCGATCAGCAATGTAGAGGGCTTCAGCCAGTTTGGCAAAATTTTCATTGATGTGAACTGTCTGCAGTCCTCTTCCATCAGCAGCCAGACGCTTGTCTAATGGAATTGTATAACCCTAGTGTGAAAGCAAACAGAAAAGACCAGTTGCAAAAAGAGCTACAAAACATTCATTACAATTAAATCTAAATCTAAATACTACAACTTAGTTGAATTTCTTTTTCTTTTATCTTTTTTTTTATAATTATGCAACAATAGCAGCTAACACTAAGAGCTCTGTATGGAAGATATTTTTATATCTATGTCTCATTTAACTTTCATAATAACCCTATAATGCTGGTAACATTATTGTTCCTTTTCACAGATAAAGATACTGAAGTACAGAAAGCTTAGGTAATGTCCCCAAGGTCATACAGCTAGTAAGTGAGTGAGCTAGGATTTGAACTCAGGCAGTATGACTTCACAACCCAAGCTCCAAAAAAATAGAATTCTCATGTTAATAACTGTGGATTATAAGAAAAGGAAATCACTATCAAATTGCTAAATAGTTGTTCCTCAAGTAAATATAACAGTCATATAAAGGTAGAACAAAATCACTACAATATTAGTATTTATAAGTGGTCTAACGTCCTGTACTGGTTTAATGATTTAGATTCTCAGAATCTTTTAAGTTTTAGTAAATGGAAAAAAAAAGATAAAGTTTGCTAGAAAACTGATATTCTATGTTCTCAAATTTTACATCCTATTTCAACATCTCAAGCCATACACTTGAACATCCATGTAATAGGATTAGCTTTATTCTTCCAGATTTCTGACTAGACTCCCAAATGCTGACCTCTATTCCATAGTATTTATTCCTGATACAAGGAAGTGTAACAGAATCAGCTAAAGATACCACAGTTATACACATATTAATCAACCAAAATAGAACCACCCAACAACCTTTTTGTTTCAGGCTGATTATATAACTTCCTTTATGGAACAATTTTTAAATTTAATCCATAAATTGAAGAAGCTTTCTTCATCCATCAAAATAGAACCATTTGGGGAAAAGAGAGAAGAGTGATGACAAAATGTATCCTACATCATTCTACAGATTCTTAACAACTTCTGGGGAGCTTTGCTGATTAGTAGAGACATATAGGATTTAAATAGCTTAAGCCTGCAACACTATAAACAGAAATAAATAGTTTGGAAATTAAGGCACTGAACATAATCATTTACTTTGTTATTGTGTCATACAATCATTTCAGAAATTATTTTTAGATATAAATTTTTGAGTTTTTTAAAAGACCATAATCTTTTACTGATATGATACTTTATTTTACACATTGTTTCTCTATGTACTCTGATAGCTACAATTCACTAAAATAATCTATATGGTATTCATGTGTCTGGCATACTAACATTTCCATTACACTTTAGAAAAAAAAGAAAGTCACATAAATTAGGTGTTTCTTTTTGAAAACAGCCAGCTAAGTAAGTGCTGAGGTTTCAACCAACGGACCTCGGCTGTAGCTCTTTGCTCGGCACTTCCCAGTAGGTCATAATAATAAGAGACTGATTTTATAACAATTACCTTTGCGTTTTTCCAGTTTGAAATACAAGGAGGAATTTTCCACTCTTGTTGTTCCTTCACGGTCATCTGAGTTGAGAAGAGAGTAAGAGAAAAGACAGTTTTAGATTCACAGTCTACTTAAAATTCCAAGTACAATCTTTCTCTTCAAAGATAGCTCAATATATGCTAACATATGGACAGACTTAATCAAAGGCCAAAATTCCATATCATGGATTCTAGTAATAGCTTTAAACTAATGTAAAAAATGGAAAATAATGTAGAATTTTATTTTTGACAGTTATAAATGCTGGCTAGTATTTTTCCATATTTAAAGTGATGTGACTTCTTTCAGATGAAAACTTGAGTAATAAAACAGACCTTAAAAAGCCATTTAGATTATCAATCAGAGACCTAATGAACCCATGGATTCACTTCCTGTAACAACCTTCATGTGAAATAGCAGGCCTTGTTCATTCCATTAAAAGCAGGGATTAGGTTAATAAAAATAATAAAACTAATAGCTAGCACTTTACCTACATTCTCATAAGCACTCTCAAAACTACACTTCATAGTCTTGACTGGGTCCCTATTTGATCTTGAAAAACAAATTTAAAAACAGAAAACAATAAGTAAGTGGTGAAATGTACCTTATAGGCACCCAGATTATATTCTGTGGGAGGTTATTTATACAATTAATAATCACGAGTAGGAAAAAAAAGATTTTAGACTATAGCAAAGATTACCTTTCGGCTGGGAGAATGCATGACAGGTGCAGGAGGAGAAGGTGGTCCCCGGGGAATTTTCTTATTAATCCTGAAGGATAAGTTGAAACACAGAGAGTGATTTACTTTTTCTCCCTTTAGTTAATATGTCAAGTCTTCCCTCATTTTTTTTATTATGTAAAGCTTCAAACAAAAACAGAGATAGTATAATGGACACCTATTTACCATACACCTATAACTCAGCTTCAACAACCTTGTCAAAATCCATACCCACCTCACTTCCAAAACATCATTATCATTTCATAGAGTAATATACTTAAAAATAAGTTCTAATGAGGTTTCATTGACATACAATTAACTACACATATTTAAAGTGTACAATTTGATAATTCTCACACTTGTACACACCTATGAAACCATCAACACAATCAAGATAGTAGATACATCCACCACCCATGAAAGTTTTGTGTGCCCCCTATCTTCTCTTCTTCCTCCTATCTCCTCCCCATCCACTCCCCTCCATTCTCACAGGTAAACAGTGATCTACTACCACTATAGATTCGTTTGCATTTTCTAGAGTTTTATATAAGTAGAATCATACAGTACGTATTCGTTTTTGTCTGGCTTTTTTCAGTCAACATAATTATTTCGAGATTCATCTGTTTGAGACTGTATTATACTTTAATTATTAAACAGTTATTGTATTAATAGTTTATTCCTTTTTATTGCTCAACAGTATTTCATTGTATGGATGTACCACAGTTTGTTTATCCATTTACCTGCTGATGGCCATCTGGGTTATTTCCAATTTTTAGCTATTACAAATAAATCTGTTATGATACTTTCTCCTATAGTATCTTTTTAAATAATAGTGGTTCCTTCTTATGAAGCCACCTACTTACTTGAACCTTGGAGGTTCCATTGGATCTTTCTGCATTTCCACCATCCGAATAACTCTCTGTTTAGCTCCAGAGTTGAAAGCCACTCCTTGTTGAGATGGTGTGTACCTGAAGAACAGAGATGAAACTGAAGGTGTAACTAGTTCAATAGGTATTTTCAATAGGTACTTTTCTTCTGTTACAACCCTAAGATAGATTACATTTTTCGATTCCTTTCAGAAAGTTATTAAGAGAAAAATGAAAAATATTTAGGTAGAGTAGATAACACCAGAGATCAAGGGAACTAACAGAAATTATCAGTTACAAGCAAATTGTAAACTAAAGTGGTATTAGTTTGCAAATAATCCATCCTCGTCCATTTTCTACTATGGAAGACTATGCTCAGTTCTACAGAAAACAGGTCTAAAAAACAGTACCTATTTTGTAAGTCTGCCTTTGAGGAAAAAAATGGCCCATAATATTTCCAGCAGGCACTGAAAGTTAGTAGTTTTTGACTAGTCATAGATTGTAAAAACAGAAAAAGAATAATGGTAGCAGTACTGCTAGCTCTGAATTTTCCCTTAATATCTATATGTGAACTGTTCCTCTATACAAAGATTCCGTAGGGTGAAAGCCCTCAAAATTTAGGAGTATCATACAAGTGCCTATTATATATAAATAGAAGACTATAAATAATAATTGTGACTTGGATCAAATACTGCCAGTAATTATTAATTTCTAAAAACAAAAAATGTATTTTGAAAATAGCTAACATCTTTAAAAGTGGATGTCTTAAAAAAAAATTCATCTGCTTTCAATTGTTTGCAAAGAGAGTTAATAGGCTATAGGTCATTATTCAAGAAATAACATTTATAATTGTGATTAAGTAGGACAGTGAAATAACATCAGGACCCCCATCCCACCCCCCACCTCAATCATCCTGGAATGAAACTAAGACTTCCAAGCATGATTCATACCGGATATACTGAGCAGGAGCCAGTTTATCAGCTGCTCGAACTGGCATGGCTGCAGCAACCTTCTGCGATACAGATTTTTCTAAGGCTACTCTTGTCTTCTCTGTTATCTGAAATATGAAAAATCACACTGAGTAATTTGGAAGTTGGTAAGGGTGTAAAAAGTCACCTAAAATAATTATACTTATCAATTCCCAGCTACCTCTTTAATGGCTTCTTCGTCGGGTCTTTGCAGGTCTGGGTCATCTGCATTCATTACTTCCTTGGGAACCAGGTCAGTGTACTTGCTATAAATGACCTAAAATGTTTAAACACAAGCAGGCTTAAGAAAAGCAGAGAATGAGAGGAAGCAACCTCATTAAGTCATTTCAGAAGTTAATATATCCTCTCAGCACCCTGACAAATTTAGGACGATTAGATCTTGTCTTTCTGATTTTAAAACCAAAGAAGCTTAAAATATAAACACAATTGCTACCTTGGCTATATGAGTTAATAATTTTCCTTTGACCCCATACATTTAAATTATTTGAGATCTTCTAATCAAGTCAGTATCCAAATAGGTAAATTGTGCCAATAAAATCTTATGTATCAGTGATCCCTATTTTTGAGGCTCACTAGGACTTGAAATTAATGATGATATAAACTGCCTATAGTACCATTATCTTGGATTACAAGCTCATCAGAATTTAAGTCAGGTTACCAAATAATTTCCAAATTCACTGGGCCTGGAAAATTTCATTGACCTCACCCTACTTATAATATTTCTCTTTTCTGGCATCAACTCTATTTATAGGCTAAGAAAATAAGCACGTGCCACAGTCAAAAAACCCAGAACACTTTTTTACATGAAAAAACAAAAATTCTCTAGACACAACTTATTTTATCCAAATTTAGGCCTGCTATCTGATTTCTACCAGGCCCAACATGGTTTCTGTTAGCTGACCCTGACATTGTACACCCTTGACAAACAAAGTATTTCTTACTTCCATGCCATCTATACTTCTTAAATGCTTTTATAAAAGCTTACGTGGCAGATTTTAAAGAAGAAAAGAGGTACTGGAAATTTAACAAATAATAAACTTTCTAGTGTTTGCTGCTTTAGGCTGATTCTTTGACATACATACAAAGAAATGACAACTTATGAATATGAAAGAAAACCAAATTCCTAGGCATTTGAGATTTTAACAATTTTTCTACAGGAGAAAATTATTTACTACTATAAGCCGACGACTTTTACTGATAATTGCACTCTACCACAGAGCATTCCTTAAAACCGTTTATTAACGGAAATGTACACTACTCCTAATTTCTTACTCTACACTATAGAGCAAAAACCACTTTATGGCCTATATGACCTGACATCACCTGGCTTTGCCCCCTGCCTCAATCTCCTCTTATACCTCTCTCTCTCCCTCACTCCTTATGCTTCAGTCACACTGGATTTTCTTTGTTTCTTGAATATGACATGCTTTTCCCCAACTCTGGGTCTTTATAGAGTGTTGGTTCCAGTTCAAGTGACTCCTCAATCTATGATCAGTCCAAAGGTCATACATTGGTGAGGCCTCCCCTGATTACCCTCACTAAAGCAGCAACCCTCCCCACCCAATCACTCTGCATTACAGTACCCTGTTTACCTCTTTAAACCACTATTCACAGTATGAAATTGTTTGTTTTACTTATTATCTGTCTCCTTTCTAAGACAGTAATATTGGTGATAATGATATAAGCTACTGTTTAATGAGTACTTATTGTGTACCACTGTCCTTTTGCTTTATGTATATTAACCAATTTAACACTTGTAAAAAGAACAAGCGGAGCCCTGGTGGTACAGTGGTTAAAGCACTTAGTTGCTAACCGAAAGGTCAGCGGTTCGAACCCACCAGCTACTCTGCAGGAGAAAGACGTGGCAGTCTGCTTCTGTAAAGATTACAGCCTTGGAAACCCCATGGGGGCACTTC